GCAAGAAAATCAGCAGATAAGAGTTGACTTACAGATGTTTTGAAGTCTGTTTATGCACATTGTGGCTGACTTGAAGACAGAAACTTTATTGATTAATTTAAACAGTTTGTGACATCATAATAAAATAAAAGGTTTACATACACAGGTCATATTTTATGATGTGTACTTAAAAATCCTTTACTGTTCCTTAACCCATTTCACTAAATGTCAGTTCCCATGGTCTCCACACTGTTCTCTCTATGTTTTCCATTTTCCTGACAAGGAGAATTTGCTTAATAATCAATAGCTTCTTGACCTTGTGATCATTTCCTATATTCTCATGACCTTAATGTTTGATTTAGGGGTGATACTGGTAAAAGAAATTAGATGCTTATCACTCTCAGGGGTGAAAGATTAACAGTTTTTACCTGAAGTTGGACAAGAGTTTTTGAGAATTTATGAAAAAGTCATTAGTAATATTTTAAAAAATTCTTTTTAAGTTACTTCAACCAAAATACTGTTTCAGTTAATTTATGCACTGTTCACACACAATGACTGAGGACATAGTGATATACTAGTTTGACTTTCAAGCTGTAGTGAATAATTTTGTGTTTAACGCAAATTTTTATTTCAAGTACCTATGCTATGCTATGCTGTCCCATTTACTTGGTGCCTTGTTGACAAACTGAATGCATGGATCATGTTACCCTCTATTGTGACCATTTATAGTGTGAACATAGAGATGAGTCTTGATCATGACCCTATGAAAATAGGACATAGAGTAAAGGACTAGAGGAAGTGAGTTTTATGATTACAGAACCAACAAGAAAAATTAGTCTTTTGACAAAAGAAAATCATGATGTCCATTGTTTTTTGTTTCTGGCCTTTTCACTCAAAGATTGGATCCACTTCTAAATATCTTAACCGGATATTTTCATTATTTTTGACTGATTTCTTGAGACTGCCATAAATCAATCTTTTATTAATGGAGGAAAACACTTTGTGTTGTTTGGGCAAACAGTTTCGGATTCTGATCATTACTTCTCAATAGTCATTATTTTACTTTTCTTCACAAATTGAGGTAATTGTGACTATAAACAACTTTCCATACTACATGTTTATTTTACTTCAGACGCTCCTCAGGCTTGGTGCAAGCTTTGCTAAATCCTTAGTCCTCTTCGCTGTCCTTCGATTTTGTACAGCAGCCTGTCTGACGGGTTTTTTCGCGGCTCATTATGTGTACATCCTGGAGCTTGTGGGACCAACCTACCACACGATGGCTTCAAACTGTTGTGGCTTCTTTTGGGCCGCTGGTTATGGTGCTATTGCTCTCATGGGTTATTACATCAGAGACTGGCGTACACTGCTCCTCGTTTCCAGCTGTCCTCCAGCTCTTTTCCTGCTTTTGTGGTTGTAAGTGATCGGATAGCGCAGTTTTCTATGGAGTGTCGTAAAACTTAAAGCAAAGCTATCACAAAAACAATTTTTGCAAAAAAAAATGTGTCAAGGTGCTAGCTTCTGGACAAATTACAGAGCGTATAGAAGCAAATTCAATGCAAATCTGCATTACTTTCGACACTCAGTTGAAAACTCTTTCCATTGCACGGCTGGTTCCCTCCTCATGTTTGAAAAATAACGCGAATCCTAACGCGAATCGCTATTGATTGTCTGGCTGATTTGTTCCACTAAAAGAACAAACAAACATAAAACTTGAAAAAACATGTACAAAGAAAGATGCTTTTTTTGTCTTTTAGTTATGAGCTGCTGTCACGAGGACAAAGAAAAATCCTAATTCACCATAAGGCATCAAACCTCTTACGCTCTACCACTGAGCCACAGAGACTCTTAGGTGAGTCAGGCCATAACCAGATTCAAAGACGACATGCTTCCCGCTTGAAAGCCTCGTTTGAGTCAGTCGACCAAGACAGATGGTAAATTTTAGGCCTGGTAATAGGGGTACAATTGTAGCTCTTTGGTTGTTACATTTGCTTATCATCTGCGAGCCAACCAATCAAAGTGCTATAAATGCTCCATTCACTCTTTTTATGAACATCATACCTCGTAGCCAAGGTGAAAATTAAGCTCTCAATATGTTATGATTGCAGAATAATCCCAGAGTCTGGTAGATGGCTTCTTGTCCGAGGTCGTGTAGATGAAGCTGGCCAGGTTGTGAAGAAGTTTGCAAAGAAAAACTCTATAATGTCAGATTACTTAAACAGAGCACTGGCAAAATGCAGCCGGGGGGAAATTCTTGCGCGCACAAGAAAAATACGACATTCACCCCTCGACCTGTTACGGACACCACGCATGCGTAAGAGAACTCTGATTCTCGATTCTCTGGTTTTGCTGGTGAGTTGTAGTTTCTTACCATAATGGGAGAGAATTAAATAAAGAATTATTTATGCATAGCTTTCTTCTTAAGCGCTTCGGAAAGCTTTCACGCAATCACCAAATAACTAAGCCTTTCCTTCCTTACATCCTCCCGGGAAGAAGCGGTACTCTATTTCAGGTAATCTTGCACTCCACAGTAATAAATACCAAATCAACTGATTGTTTTCTAATTGACCTTCTCAAATTATTTGAATCGCTCATCCCAGACCCTCCCATCGGTACGGTGTATACGTTAGTAGTAAAGCTTTTACTTGAATTCGCTTAATGTAAAGCACACGGGTGCTAGTTTGAGCGAATATCTACATAAATAAGTCACAATTAAAAAGAAAAAAAACCTAAAAATACTATATGTACGTACATGAATTAAAAATATAAATGATGTATTTAAGGATAAAAAATTACATTTACATATGTAAAGATATTGCTATAAATTCTCAAAGTTGATGTGCCGTATAAATTTCTTAAAAGATTGAAAATCAGGTGGAGTTCTCAAATTATCATCCAAGAAATTCCATATCTTGGGTCCAAAGTACCTAATGGATTTAGAACCATATGATGTAGTATTTATTCTAGGTAAGGATAAAATATTAGATCCTCTAAGTTGATAATTTGTGTTGCGAGTTGTAAATAAGTCCTTAATATAGGATGGAGCAATATTATTCAATGCTTTATATATTAGTATAGAGATATTTTGGAGCCTATGATTGTAAAGTGTAGTCTTATTAGCCCTATTTAAGAGGTATTGATAGTCGTTTTCCTTATCCTGAAAAACACCTTGAAGAGCACATTCATGTAGTTTTCAAGCTTATCTGAATTACTCTTTAGACAAAAGTGCCATACCTTAGAACAATTACTAAGATGTGATAAAATGAAAGAATGATACAACTGTAATTTAGCATCAAGTGGAATAAGACATTTAAATCTATTAAAAACACTTATTTGTCTGCTAATTTTGCGGCAAAGTCCAGCTATATGTTTATGAAAGTTTAGTTTTTTATCTATAGTAACGTCCAGTAGCTTGATATAATTCTCTTGTTGGAGTTCCTGACCATCAACTTTGAACCTGAAATCAATGGAAGATCGTCCAGGGGCCAGGTCAAAACCTTGGAATTTGTCTGGATTTTCTTTAAGTGGGTTTTTCCTTAAAGTTTTTCCTTTTTCCTTAAACCTTTCCTTTCGCCTTATCGAGGTTTCATTCGATTCTCGTATTTCATGTACGTGACGTGTTGTCGTTTCGCCTTATTTAAAACATTTATGCCTTGCTTTAGATGGTTTTAGATAGTTTGCGAGTGGCTGTAGATGTTTTCGAAATGGTTGTAGGTCGTTGTTGAAATTTTTGAGGTGGTTGTGGATGGTTGTAGGTGGTTTTAGGTCGTTCCATGTTTTAGTACTTACCTTTCGTCTGCATGATCAGTGACAGTTTAGAGTAAGTACCAAAGGTAGGTAAGGTTCTCTTACTAAAATGTCGGTTGTACTCATAGCTTAATCTTAATGAAGCTTGGCTTCGTTTGACTCCCCTACAAAGCTTAAGTTTTATTTAGTTTAGGCTCTCATTCCGCAACCGGTTGCAAATATTTCCTTTTGCATGTCAATTGGGTGGCCAGATTGCAGACTTTCGTAATTCTGAAAACATGAACTACTTCAAATCAACATTTCCAATTTTCTCGCCCTCGCGGGAACCCATTTCTTCGCAGTGACGGTCAGGCTGGATCTCATTCAGTATAAAGATTTGTAAAGGGACTTGATCCTGTACAGACGAGCACGACAAACCAGGCTTATTTCTAGAA